CATCAAAGCAAATCCCAAAATGAACTAACGTAGAGTCCAAAAAAAAGAAATCAATACTCAATCTTGATTTGCAACTACAACTAAGCATTAGTTTAGGAAAAAAAATTCAACAGTTGATCTTCATTTGTAAGTATGCTTCCGAACGTCATCAAAACCAATCTGCAAAGAAAATAAACAAGGCAAACATTAATATATTATCAATTACATCTAAACTCATATATAAATAATTTTATTTTATAAACCAATTTAGTAGAAATACATATAACAAATTCAAAACTTCAAAGAGTTGAGGTGATCCTTGATGATAAAGCAACACGGATAACATAAGATGACAAAAGATCGCAAGAATACCATATATCACTATCACTAATGGTAGAATATGTATAATAGCTCCAAAATATAACGTATCATTGAGGTACATTTGATTCACGACAATGGGCCGATGACTTCTTCAATGAGGTAAATTTGATCGGTGAAATTGAACACAAGAACCTTGTAAGACAACACAAGAACCTTGTAAAGACTTTCGGGTTGTACCATTGAAGCCCCTCAATGCCTTCTTATTTATGCCAATTTGCATCCATGTATAAAGTAAAACAAATCCCTCAGTCCTAGTCATTACAAAAAAGTTGACAATGATGGGTGCATAACTAAAACTTATATGAAATTTGAAAAACAAACCTCATATTATAGTGTATGCATTTTCAACAAAAAAGTTGGGATTAGAGAACCCCAAAGAAAGGATTACTTTTTTTTTTTTTTTTTGATCAACAAAAATGAATCTTTATTGATGAAGAAAGCAGTACATGCGAAAACTTACATCAACAAGAGCAAAGATCAAAGAGCATCAACCCTAAGATTGGTGAGAAACCAATCCTACAGGAGGAACCAAAAAAGACAGGACAAGAAAAATAAAACAAAACAAAAAACAAACAGAGCATACACCACCAGCAGCATGCACAAGCCCTCCACTCATCAGGTTTAACAACATACACTAAAGGAGCCAGTAGCTGCACAAGAAACAGCTGCACCAGCAGACTCTAGCAGGTTTAACATACAACAGTAATTGCACAAAACCAGTAGCAACACCAACAGCGCAAAAACCAGAAGCAACATACCCTTCACTCATCAGAGGAAAAACCAACAGTATACTACAACACTCTAAAAGAAGCAGGTTTAACATACAGCAGTAACCGCACAAAACCAGTAGCAACACCAGCAGCGCAAAAACCAGTAGCAACACACACCAGTAGACTCCAGCAACACCAAAGAAAGGATTACTTATCGCATTATTCAACTCGATCCCAGCTGAGTTGAATTTCTGTTTTGCTTCTCAATCTTAATTTATGAGCCGAAAATCTTTACTAACCCAATCTAGTGTAAAATACAAACAAATTGGCAAGTTTAATTCATGGATTGATGTTTGCTGAGCCTTTGCTGAGGCATTCTTAACTACACCATTTGCTTCAACTGGAAATTTTTGACCCGGAAAAAGTAAAGCAAAGAGCTTAGTCAAGTTGACAGCAAAGAGCTTAGTCAAGTTGACAGCAAACACTTGTCTACGTGTTTACAAGCTTAATCCTGTTCCAGTCCCCACCCGTTACCATCTTATTTACCTAAAAAACTAGCACTAGAAGATGGTTTTTTTGTAATGAAAGCTTTCTGGTCACCAAGAAGGAAGCACTAGGAAGCAACACCAAAAATCACCATTTGCTTCAACTGGAAATTTTTGACCCGGAAAAAGTAAAGCAAAGAGCTTAGTCAAGTTGACAGCAAAGAGCTTAGTCAAGTTAACAGCAAACACTTGTCTACGTGTTTACAAGCTTAATCCTGTTCCAGTCCCCACCCGTTACCATCTCATTTACCTAAAAAAATAGCACTAGAAGATGATTTTTTTGTAATGAAAGCTTTCTGGTCACCAAGATGGAAGCACTAGGAAGCAACACCCAAAATTTTTGTTCCAGGTTTCAAAGTAAGCAGACGGAAATGGAGACTTAGTTGATGAGACGTATTACAAGCAGCTGGTGGGTAGTTTAATGTATCTCACTGCCACCAGACCGGACATGATGTTTGTTACTTGTCTCATAAAACCAATGGAAATTCATCTACATGCAGCTAAGAGAGCACTTTGATACTTAAAAGGGACTGTGAACTAAGGAATTCATTATAAGAAAGGAGGAGATGGTGAGTTGTTGGCGTTTACGGATAGCGACTATGTCGGAGATATTGAAGATAGAAAGAGTACAACTGGTTATCTATTTTTAATGAGTTCAAGTGCTGTTTCATGGTGTTCAAAAAAGCAATACAATCCAAAAGAATAATTTAAGCAAATATAAAAACAGCAGCAATCGTAAAGTGATATACAAACCTGACCAACCCACTGCCTGAGACTCAATAAATGTTCATTCATTTCTACTACTGTGAAAAAATCAATCAGAGAGACACCCATTATTAATCACATCACTAACTTAGAGCAACTCCCAACACTGCCTAGCAAAAATACACAAAAATGTAAACACATAGTTTTGTCTCTACTTTGGTTAGTGTGCATTTTAAATAGGGTCATGCTAAGTAAGATTTTTGATAATGAATCTATTTTCATTAAATGCATCTTCAAACTTGTTAAATCTTAGTTAATGCCTATAATGCAATTAGGAGTACTAACAAATAAAGGAATCAAATTGATAGATACTATGATAAAGAGTAGGGTTGCAGCATACCTACAAAAAACTAAGCAGGAAACGATGCAAATAGAAAACACAGAATAAAACTACAGTGCAACAGAGATTCACACTAAGAAATGGAGTAAGAATATAGAACTCGATAAGGACTTACAAGTAGAAGCTGTAACTGTTACCAACATGAAAAACTTGTATTAAGGGAAAATATGATCAAAGTAATTAGTGCTTGTGATGGCAAGTATGAAAAAGCCTGATGAGGGTCTAAGATCGTACATGGCGAATGTGGATTTGAAGAATGGGATGACAAAAAGAAGGGTTATCCTAGAGCTTATGGTGACTTGTGATGTTATGATAGCAATCACAAAGTAAAGAAATGAACACTTAACAAGCTTTAAAATGGATTCATAAGAAGTCAGAATTTTTTTCATGGCTAGAACTATAAAAAAACAAATGTTTGAGGATTGTACAATCATTCCAGAAGAGAGTTCTAGAGCTGAATGTTCATATTCATAGATCTGATGCTAAGAACTTGATTTTCTTGTCACTTCATGCAGGTTCATGTCAGTTGTGTGGTGAAAATTATTTTGGAGGCCTGGGCAAATCAAAATCAAGAATCCTATGAAATCATAGGCAATTTTAGGTCGCTTACCAGCAAGAGATTTCATTACTATCTCCGAAAATAGGCAATATAACTCTCACTTTATCAAGTAAAATTGATGTTCAATCAAAGAATTTAATGAACACATTTGCAGCAAATCTTAGATGTTTTGCTTAACAATAGGCATGTATATGAAATTAGAATCCTTTATAGCCAGCCTTCCCTTCATGTACCATCAGCATATCTCTCTTTCAGACCATTAGCTTGTTTTAAGTAATTTCATTAAGGTATAGATGCTTTATTTAAGAACATCACATAGAAGAGCCAAGACTACATTAACTTAGCACCTTGTTCCCACTAAAACGTGTAAAAAGAACCTAAACAACATGAAGCTGATCTCAAATTGCAAAATAAACACTAGATTAGATTGAGCACCTTAGTTTCTAGGTTGCCAATACAAAACTTGCTTCAAAAGTGCTACCCTGCATATGAAGTCACACTACTAGGCATTACCAACAAAGTAATGAATCTATTCATAGCTAATACCAGATTTCATAAATAAGATGATGCACAGACAAAGAGGATGAGCAACAAAGAAGTAAATTGGAAGAGACCTACTTTATAAATAATAGGAGCGTACATGTCATAATTACAATACAAGGAATGGACCTCAAAAAGAACCTCTGAACAAGAACAAAAGGCAATGGGATAATTTTCCTTTTTTTCTCAATTCAATTCCCCAAAGAAAACCTCTCTTTCTCTTTAAAAATAATATGAATTATTCTCTTCCATTCCATATATGGTTGTCCATTTTGTCATGTAATGTGCATTGAGTCGATCCTAGGCTGACTATGTTGTCAATCAAGGAACTTGGACTCAAATAGAAATTAAATTGATAATAAAGAGGGGAAAGTGAAGCAACCCATGGACTCCAAACCAATCACATGGGACAAAATCAATGCTATACCAGAACTGCAGGGTTTATAGACAACGAGAGGGCTCACTTGACAAAGTGGTAAGTATTGTTTGTTATGCTAGTTGCATCACCCAATTTCCTGTCACAAATAAACCCTTTTCCCTTTTCTTTTTCCCTATGTTTCTTTCAAGTTTCAGTTTATATTGTGGTTTCAGGCAAGGCAGGACAAGTTCTCAATCAACTGATTTAGCTGCCTTTAACTTAATTACTACCCAAACCCCAAACCATTGCAAGAAGATTATTTATTTTTAAGTTTTTCCTATCCTTTCAGCCATTGAAAAGGACAAAAATTTATAATGATAGAGCTTATTATTTATTGGTATGGCAAACTTCTTGAGCATTAGTATGTTGGAGAACTTGTCCTAAATTTTATGAGATGATTACTTCAATTGCAGGTTTGGAACTTTGGTGAATTTGATCCTTTTCTGAAAAAATTTCAAGAAGTACAGTAATTTAACCATCTTTATTTATCAGAAAAAGGTAAACGGACTGAGCAAAAAGGCCACTCAAAGAGTCATTCAACCATAAGATCTAATGTACCACACTAGAATAAACTTAGGAATCACGTTTTGGTGGCCATTTAATTTTTCTCATAAAAAAAAATGCCGTCCATTGGAGTGTTACAGGCCTTACGGCCTATTATTTTAGATAGGATAATATTCTCAAAACATAAATATACAGCATGTATAATGTGATATGTGAAGTGACTTTCATTAAAAACTCTGAAAGTTTTGGAGTTCCTCGAACATAAAACAGGAATATTTAGGTCCAAACACAGTCTTAACTCATAAATTAGTTCCTACGATCCTAGATCCAAACACAGTCTTAAAGTGACACCAACAACAGTTCATAGTACCCTCTTAGATTATCTCTGTCAATAAGAGCAAGTTCCGCAGCCATCTCACTCAACCTCCAATCATTGTTGTCAAAATTAATTAGGTCAGGTGCATCTATTTCCCTACTCACATCCAATTTCCAGTACCTTTCTAATAACATCGACATTCAGATTTCACCAGACTATAATATGCAAATAAATTTAATTATGCATTAAAAAGTTTCAAGTTGTGATTAACAAAGATTTTATTGTTTAACCTATGTACCCTAGTCTACTCTCACTTCTAGTAGTGATTTTAGCAACATAAGTACTAAGAGCATCTCCAACCACAATCTTTATTTTTCACTAACTAAAGTACAAAAAAAAGACACTCTTTATTTTACCTAATTAGTTTAGCTATTGTGTGTTCCAATCATACTCTTTATTTTAACTAGTCATTCAAACTAACTTAACCAATTTTCAAAACAAAAAATGCTATATATATTACTGTATTTTTCATAGAATGCCACATACGCACCAAACGCTAATATGGTTGCCAATGTGACATTTGCGATAATATTTTTAAAAATAATATTTTTTAATATTAGTTTTAAAAATATTATAAAAAATAATGGAGAAATGACTAAGATTCCCTGTTGGAAGCAAATTAATTAATAAATGGAGATCATTTAAATTTAAACACTCCTCGTTTTGTTGAAAATGATTCAATGATAATTTTAGATAAATAAATGGAGATCATGTAAATTCAATAAAAAATGATTCAATGATAGTTGCAACAAACTCTCTAATGATATATAACAAGAGCTAACATTCTGCTTCCAATGAAGAATTTTGCTACGATTAAAGCTAGAATCCCAAGTCTACAATCAACTCTGTAATGATATATAACAAGAGCTCTAATTCTGCTAACATTTTATCAAGCCTATATATTATAAAACTAAGAATTCTGGTAAAATTAAAACTAGTTTTGGATTTTCAAGTGAACATGAATAAAAGTAATTTGGTGGGGATTAACCTTTCACAGACAAGATTGCAGAGGTTAGCTGGGATATCAGGTTGTCCATAAACTAATTTTGTTGGCGTGTTCCTGTTTGGAGTTTGAAGTGAACAAGGAGGCACATAGACACCAACCTTGTCACAATTTGACAAAGCTCAACCATGTCTTCAATGCCTATCTCCTATCTCCTATCCTCACGTACAAAATAATGGGTTTGTTTTGTTCTAATAACTAAATTAATTGAAATGGGAAGGAAACTGTTATGCTTGATTGAAGTGTTTGATCCATTTCAATTAAACATTTCACCAACCAGACTCCAAACAAGAACACACCAACAAAAACTAAGAACAACAACCAACACACAACATCAGTAACATACAGGGACAACAGACACACACAGATCAGAAACAGATCAGCCAAGAATCAGCAACAGAGCAGGCAAAAAAACACGACCAGAGCAGACAAAAACCAGTAACATAGCAGACAAAAACCAGCAACATAGCAGACAAAAACCAGCGACAGAGCACCAAAAAACTAACAACAGATCAGTAACACACACGAACAGATCAGCAACAGAGCCACATATTTCCTCTGTTTTATAAACCAGTACCCATTCAATGATTCTATCAAAGAAAGATTTACAAGAAAAAGAACCAAAGAAGGGATATTCTTCACTCTCTTATTAACACAATAGTTCTCTAGGAAACACCATCAAGTAAAGGTAACAGAGAAGTCAACTCATTAACCTTCTGATCATTAGGATTTGTGAAAAGATGAAACTTCTAAAAAATAGGAACACATCAAAAACTAAGCATTGATCATTGGGATTGTGTTCTTTCTGGATAGGTGATTCTGCTCTTCAATGTTCTTAAAGATTGAAGAGTTGCTACCTTGAGTCAATGCTTAGGCTCCAACCAGGTCAAAACTATGGGTACTCTGCTCTCACATATGGAGAAAGGCATATGTATGAATTAGAATATGACAGGCTTCCACATTTCATTCTATCAGACCAACTCTGTGGAGATCCTAGCCACTACGAGGAATTCCACCAGAAGTACAACATAAGATTATCTTCTTTTTTTTCACTGAAGCAAACTCAACAATCAGTGCATTGTATTAACCTATAAGTACCCAGAGAGGATTACCTCGTTTTGAGAGTATCATCTGTTCATATTTTCAATGTTGACTTTGTTTTGAGTATCTTTTTTCATTTTCTTCTACCTCTCATATTGCATTATTAAAAAGATTTTAAAATTTTGAAATATAGATTACTTTTTTTCCCATAACAAACTGAATTACTAGAATCCAGGTTTCATTTCAATTATCAACCTGATCTAGCAAATTTCATTGAAACAAGGAGAATCAAATTACTAGGCCCTCTAGCCCAACCCAACCATGAAAACATTTTAAGTACGGATTAGATTAAATGAAATTACGTGTTTCAACAGAAATTTCGAAACAGGTAGAGAAAATGCCATCTTAAGACTAAATATTATTCCACAATGTAGCAGTCACAATAAAAAATTCACCATTGACCACTAAAATCTTCCTCAAACACTTGCTACTACAAAGGTATGAGGACCTTGGAAATACCAATGCTGGAGGCAAGATAATAAACTCTGCTGTTGAATAGAAACCGTTTTGAGTTGTTATGCTCAAATTGTTTGGGTTACAAATCATTTTAAAGGGGAATAACAGCCAAAGTAGTAGGAATATTGGCCGGGGGTGCTCTCATATAGTACATATGGAAAAAGTAGAATAACTGGAAATTCAAAAGACAAAAAAAAGGATGGTAGTAGTCTTAAAGGAAAATAATTGGGATCTTTGAGTATACCATGCATGCAAGCTTCAAAAAGCTTACAAGTGATGGTGATAAATTCATAAACTAATTTTATCTTCTGATTGCTAATCATTGAAAGTAAAATTCATAAACTAAACATCATCTATATTCAGGAAATAGGGTAACACCACATCAAAATTTCACAGAAATTTTTCTCAAAACCCAAATAAAACACATAAACAAAACCTGAAAATCAAAGAACTAGATAAAAGGAAAACAAACCCAATTTGATCTTTCCTAAAACCCATCAAATTGCTGGCTTAGAAGTAAGAACTTGCCCTCTCTCTGAAGCATAACATGTTTACAAGGCTTCATTAATCTATCACTAACATCCATCATGTCATGCTTTAGGAGGTTCATGTTAAAAATAGTAAATGCTATGTTTCTTTGTTTCTCATGTCACAAGCTAAAAACAATTGAATGAATTTCATTTATCATTTAATTTCAAGTCAGAAATTCTCAGCAGATCTACATATGAATGTGAGAATTATCTTAAATTTCTATAAATAGTCCCTCTGATCATAAACAATATCCAACATGTGCAAAGTTCCATTATAATTCATGTATGATTTTTGTTTTTAATGCAACTTTACTGACACTTTGACTAATATGTTGTCCTAGATCCTTGCAATACCAGTTATCCCATTAACCATGTCAGTTGGTCTGTTATTTGGTTCTATTATTGGCACTATCATTGTCTCTATTAGTGGAACGGTAAGTTGGAAGTTTTGCCAATATGAAAGAACAAATTTTAAGGAAATGGGGTGTACTTGAACTTGTATCTTCTTACCCTTTCAGGTGGATGCAAGTGTTGTCTTTCAAATTGCCAGATATTTTGCCTGTGATCATATTCTTAAATTGGTGGAAGGAAACAAGAAATTTCTTGCGATTGACAAGGCAATTGGAGAAAATGGTGTTAAAGTTGTTACGTTTCTCCTTTGGAGCCCTTTGCTTCCTTTCTCTCTTGGAAATTATTTATATGGACTTACATCAGTGAAGTTTGTTCCATGTGTTGGGAAGGTTTGCTTCTTGTTTATTCAATAAATTTACATAGATAGTGTTATATTGGTTTATGCATTGCTATTATCCGTTGGATTGCCTTTTGATTGGTGTATCCTATTTAAGTGATTGATTGTTGTGTATTTTACTAGCTGGTATCCTAAAGAAACATATAAATTGTAACACCCTAAAAAAAAACAACATTAAACCCATCAGATAAGACATGCATTTACATATAAACTAACCACATTCTTTTATTCATTAGAGTTCCATTACATAAGTATTACCCAATTAAGCTCCATTCCAGAAAACGTAATATGTAATGGGTACTGAACTATATCAGCAATTTGAAGAAAAAAAAATACACAATCTGAAAAAAAATAAAAAAATAAAGAGAAGATGCCCACAGCCAACTAAAACAAAGGCAAGAAATAATTGCAGTAGCAGAGCATCAGGCATGTACAAGGATCCTCAAATAGCCAGGCATGGTATCCAAGAAGAATCAGGAGGATGATCATAGAAGCAAAGGTATCGATCAATATCATGACGTACGTAATCAATTTTATTTTTTTATGAATAACCTAAGTAGAAAAACCTATAAAATAAACAGATATTAAACAAACATTCAAATATAGAGAGGGGTTGAACCCTAATTTTATTAAAAATACAGACAAACAATCCAAATCATATAAAATATTCACATTTAGTCAAGGGCTTTTACTAAATTCAAACTCTTAATTATAATCAATAGGACATTCATTCTCAAGTTTATAGCAGAAACCTTGCTGGAAAGAATAAAATACAGCATTAATTCTGAAAATTAATTTCGAAAATTAGGGAAAACAGAGATAGAGAAATAGAGAAATTAAGTGAGAGAAAGAGAGGAAGAGAGAAAGAGGACCCCATACCTGATGGAAGAGAACACACAACAGTAAAGGACATAAGACGTCTGTGGCAACATTGAAGGAGGAGAACAGGGACGTTGGCAATGGCGCTGGAGAAGAACACACAGCACTTGTGTTTTGAGTGGGAGAGGGAGAGGGAGAGGGAGAGGGGGAAAGATAGAGATTGATAGGAAAACTGATTCTTCAGTTTGTTTTGAGAGGGAGAGACAAAGATACAGGCTAATACGAAGACTGATAAAAAAATAATTAAAAAAAAGGGAGGGAAAAATAAAACTGATCCAAAAAAAAAAAGAGGGAAAAAAAATCTAGGCAAAAAAAAAAAGGAAAAAATAATAGATTTTTTTTTTCATTACCGCTTAATATGTCAAAATTTTTCTTTCAAAATTGGTGACAAAATAATTTTCTCACTAAAAGGTCTAAAAATATTAAAAATAATTAGTGATGAAAATATATTTCTCACCAAATGGTTTTAAAATATTCAAAATCAAGTTTTTTAAAAAAAGATTAGATTATTGATGACACAAATATATTCCTCATTAATAATTTTTTAATTGTTGAAAAAAAAAATTCTCACCAAAACTTTCAAAATTTTGGCACCATAAAAAAAAAAAAAATTAGTGAGAAAAATTTAGGTGACGAAACTTATTTTTTTTCTCACCTAAAAGTAAGTATTTATTGACGGAAATAAATTTTGTCACCTATTATTTTTCTTTTTTTATTATACATGACAAAATTTATAATTCCACATGGATTATTCTTATTCTTCACTAATTTTTGTCACCATATCAAAACAGAGAATAAGAGAAAGAGACACCAGAAAAAGAGCAAAGAGAAATCACGTACCAAATCATTGAGCGAAGAAGATGTGGCGGTTACCGACAAGGCTACTACTGGCGATGACCGGCAAGACTAATAGAAGTGACGATGGCGATCGGCGTGGTGGAGGAGCAAGAAGTAAGACAAATTAATACCCTATTTTTAGAGAGAGAGAGAGAGAAAGATGATAAACAGAAAAAGGGTAAAAAAAATTAATACCCAATTTTTTTTTTATTGCTGGTCAATATATCAAAAATTTTCCACCAAAATTGGTGACAATATTATTTCATCACCAAAAGATATCAGAAATATTAAAACGTTTTGGTGACGAAAATATATTCATCACAAATAATTTTATAATTAGTGACAAATTTTTTTGTCACCAAAAGTCCCAAAATTTTGGCGCCACCCAAAAAAAAATAGCGGGAAAATTTTCGGTGACGAAACTTAATTTTTCCTCACTTAAAATGAAGTATTTATTGACGAAAATAAATTTGTCACCTATCATTTTTATTTTTTTATTATATGTGACAAAATTTATAAATTCCTTACGAATTATTTTCATTTAGTGACGAATTTTATTTTCTTCACTAGTTTTCGTCACCATAGGTTACTTTTGTTGTAGTATCCCTTATCAAAATAACACACAATAAAGCTAAAACGCACACACACGATGTTTAGAAAATCCCTACCTCAAGAGCTAGAAGAAGAAACAAGCAAAAATCCCAATATTCGACTTTGTCAGATTTTGATCTCCACCAGTTAAAATGCTACTCTTGAGATGCTCATCAATTTAACCTTAAGAACTATAGGCAAAAAGTTTATAGATTTTGCTAGATCACGAAAGAGATTAGAGAAATAAGGGAGTAGAGGGAGAGAGCCGAAAGAGAGAGAGAGAGAGAGAGAGAGAGAGGTACTCTAATTCAAAACAAGGAAGAAAAGAGTGAAGGAGATGTGCAGGGAGTAGCCCCACGTGGGTTGCTCTTCTATCATTATTATTATATCTTATTTTATAATATTTAAATATCTATGAATCTATATATGTATATATATGTATATCAATTAAAAGTATATTTTAACATTATTAATAACAAAAACGATATAATATTTTCTCACCACAAAATATATTTCGTTTGATAGTGCACACCATAAATATTTGTAACTCTCTCAGGATTATAAAATAAATAATAATAATAATAATAATAATAATAATAATAATAATAATAATAATAATAATAATAATAATAATAATAATACATGGTTACAAACGGGTCATGATTCAATCAATTGGGTCCAAAATGAATGGAGTTTAATAATTTAAAATAAATCTCCAACTCAAATTAAAGTATAAATAAATTTTAAAAGACTTAAGTTGGTCCCCACCATTCACATAATTAAATATGAACCAAAATGATTCAGTATGGGCTAATCAAATAAGTCCCAAAAATTAAATTTATATCTCAATTATTACTCAAGACCCAAGAATTACTATAACTAAAACTAAAAAAAAATTGCCAAGCGGGCCTTACAAAGTCGAAATCAAGAAGTAATATAATTTATTTTCACCAATATAAATAGAATGGTCTACGACACCACAACTATAATAATAACAATTAAACAATCAAACGATTTGCAAATTCATACCAATCCAACTCCAATCAATACCCGAACCCACAAACATATTTTGTTTTAAAATTACTCCACAGATATTGAAAAGAATAATAAATAAATAAATTCAATTTGATTCAATCTTACAATGCCATTTATCATATTCATGATCCATAAACTCAACAATGTAAATCAAACGTAACTGTGAAAATGACAATCAACTAATTACTTCAAGCAAGATTTTGAGGGAATCAGAAGAGCACATGCGGTAATAAATGATTGAGAGATGTCTTGTTGATGCTCACAAGAAAATTAAAAATAAAATAAAGCACAAGTTTCGTCAGGTCATGGTTTTTACTATGTAGCACATTTTGTCTAGATTTAAACAACATGAATTTAGGTTCACAATATTAATTCCTGGTTAATTGGGAGGCAAGTTTTGCATGCTATTCTAAAATAAAGTTGAAAGTAATGTGATATATATGATTAGCTCTTAGTGGGTACCTAAGTAAGAGAGGCATCTTGTATCGATGACAAGGACATACTTGATGTTGAGCTACCATATCAAGAGGACTTAAAGCTGTTGTGACCTAACCAAATTTGAACTAATTAATTTTACAAAGACATGTGTGTGTGTGTGTGTGTGTTGGTGTGTGTGTGTGTGTGTGTAGGAAAACATTAATAAAAGTACATTTAATTATTGTTAGTATGCAAGTATGCTAGTATGAGTATAAAGATGTGACACCTACGTGTCCACCAGACACAAACGAAAGTACGTTTAATTCTTGTTACGGCACTGTGATGACCGGGTGCGCTACTCGTTTCGTTTTTCCCTCGTTTAACTTGGGTTTGTCTGGTTGGGGTGTCGGTTTGACTTGAAACATATTAATCATTTGGGTTTGTTGGTTTGGGAGTTTTTTTTTTTTTTCTTTTTTTCTTTTTTTTCTCAAAATTTTGTTCTTGTTTAATTTCGGTGTTGAATTTCACTGTTTCAGAGGGTGCAAGGTCGGGTCCGGAATTTCTGGAGCTGAGCATAGAAAATTTTGGGTTGGAGGACAAGGCTGCACGTGAGAGAGAGGAGGCCAAAGTGCAGAATACAGGGGAAGACCTGGGTGCATACTGAAATAAAAGCACGGGAAGTAGCATGTGCGGAAAGAGAGGGCAGCACGTGAGGGGATGAAGGCCGCACGTGCGGAGGCACGCTCCATACGTGCGAGGCATGGGTGCTGCATGTGTGGGAAACGCTGAGTCCAAAAAATTCAGCTTTTCTTTTCTTTTTTGGCTGTGTGTGTATCACTTTTTACACATCTCTCTCTCTCTCTCAAATCATTCCTTCGTCCTTCTCTCTACATTTCCTACACCAAAACACTTAGAACTCTTGATCTCTTTAGATCTGTTGGGTCCGGAGTTAGTGAGGGAAACGACGGAGAGGTTGAGCTTATCGTAAGAGGCTTGTTACAGCCCAGAGCGTCAGAAATCTATTGCCGACCGTAGGAGGAGACCTTTGGTGTTCGAGGTGAGTGATCATGTTTTTTGAAATATCACCAAGACGGGGATTGATGAGGTTTGGGAAGAGCGGGAAGTTGTCCCCTCGATTCATTGGTCCTTTTGAGATCCTTGAGAGGATTGGCGAGACGGCTTATCGTTTAGCTTTGCCGCCGCAGTTGTCGGGTACTATGACGTGTTTCATGT